AGCCCCTTTGCGTGGTTTCTTTCCCCATGTGCTCGTGACTTTCTTCTTTCCATTGTTTTCCTTCATAGTATGTTTAAAGCTAGGATTCACTGCCCCCACCTGCTTCGTTGCTCGTCTCGGCACGCGAGTATTGGAAGTTTGTTTCGGCTTGGTGGTCACAGCCCCTACCAAGGCTCCTTTCAGAATGTGTGAACATTCCTTTATCAGAACCTCGCAGTGTGCGCATATCCATTTCAATTCTCCATGTTAAAGGTGCAGCGCATAGCACCGCTTTGACATCTTGGAGCATATTTCGTGGTACCACTAGCCACATCCATTACACTGGGTACCATTACTAACCACTCTACCACAGCCACTGGCTCCACGTGTCAGGATGCTGTACCATGGTTGTTTTAGTAATAATGAATACAGAACACGTATCTTACGGGAAAAGCAATATATAGAAAAAAACACCTCAAATTGTGAAAAAACCTCGGAAAATACTCAACCAAAAATGACTCAAGCCCGCGTTAAAACGGGACCAAAACTTCCCAGAAAGGAAAACTGGTCGAGCAGTTGGGTCGACTGTACGATGCAACGACTGAGAAAAAGCATATGAAACATCTACTGATATATTTCACTCTTAAATGTATGACGCTTTAAAGGTGTGGCCCTTTTGAGGTCACAAAATGAAATGAATAGTGAAAGTGGATATTTCACTATATATAGCTTCAAATATCTATTGATATTTCACAATTGGCTGAGTAAAAATACTTTCGATCACAAGCACTTTGAAAATTCAAACAGGGCGCTAACGTACCGCAAGTTGCCGTGACTGGTGCATCCTTAGTGACTATGTAGTGTGCAACGCGAGCAGCCGCTAGTGTCAAATCCTCAACAGGTTTAGTCAACATGGGGAATCGGGCGATCAATGTCTGGATATCAGGGATATCAGGCTTTAAACCCGTGAGTCGGTAAACGTTTGGTCCGGCTTTGAGACCCGTGAATTTGACATTCGACGTTGGGTTGATCAACTGCAGTTTACGTAAATCGACAAGCAATTCATAGTACTGCAAAATTCGATAATCAGTATTCCAGTGGGAACATCTGCAAGAATGAACGTCCATGGATACCGCCGTTGCCCTTCCGGGTTGATCGTGAATTGTCTTGTTCCAAAGGTAGGAATGGGAGTGCCATTCGCCGCGCATAGCCAAAGCGTTGTAGCTCGTGGCTTGCTGATACCGACAGAAGAGATTGAAACTGGGGCTCCCCTGTCTGCGAAGAATCTAGCGGTTGTGTGATGGTCAGGTACGAAAAACAGATGGCCAATCTGGGGAGGTGGGCCGGCGAGTACGGCCCCTTTTACTCACCGGCTTACCCATTTCCCGTTGCGTAGGTGCACCTCGATTAGGTTGAGCTCTGCCGCCATCTGGAGATTTTACATACATCTTGACATGCTTGGATCGTTTGTCTCGTTGCT